TGAGGAGGGGTGTGGGGCGGGGAGGGGAGGGAGGGGAGAAATTGCCCTGAAAACGCAAGGAATCATTTTGCTGCTTCACTGCCCGAAGAAACTCCTTGGTGGCAGACAGGTTGTTCCTGTGCAGCAAACAATAAATGACGGGGCTATTGTCACGGATGGAGCTATCCAAGTTAAAATAAAAGTCCATGTGGATGGGCCACGGGCTCTCACAGCCACAGCTAACTGTGATCTCTGGTCATTCCCAATTAAATACTGCACATTGAACTGATGTCTCAGGAGGGACGGGGACGCTTTACTCACAACCCCAGGACTGGGAGCTCTCGCCTCTTCCACTGCTCGTACGTCTTATTGCTCCACTTGCTTGCTATCTCATGCGAGGCTCAGCCCAGCTACCAAAAACCCCGGGGACTGTTTTGTGACCATGCCCCCTACAATCTGGTGCAGACAGGCCCCTTAGCTAATTTTCATGAACTTCTTGGAATTCCATGGTGTATACTCACCCCCCGGTGATCACATTATGTTGGTGAGCAGCTTCCAAATGAAATGCACTCACAAGAGGAGGGGCCGGAGAAATAGCATGAGAGGGGTCAAACAAAAGACACGACTTGCACGATGGAGGAAAACTAAACTCGCCACAACCACTGACGTTTTCCTAATGCAGAAGACCAAAGCGCAGAGGCAAGCTTACCTTTGGCCCCGCCGCAGAAATGATGATCTGGCCCGGAGGCTGGATCCAGGGCTCTCCGTCTACTTGAACAGGTATCGGTTTCAGAAGCGTAACACGAAAGTAAGACCCTTGAGCTATGCGGATCCCTGACCGCAGGCCACCCTGCACTTGGCCCTGTCGGAACAGCAGAACGGCCATTAGATGCCAACACCCTCTCATATTTATTGCTAGAGATAAGCCACGCAGAGCATGCTGTCATGTAAGGCGTTTGCAGCCTGGCGTATCTTCTGGCTTCTTCCTGGCTGAGCTTCCTACCCCTAGAAGATTCCAAAATTACACCCTGAAATGTCAACCAGTAACACGCCCGGCAGTAAGGCCTTGATCCCGAAAGTGGCTCTAGCCCTAAGGACCTCAATTGAGCTCCACTGAAGTCAAAGGGACGCCATTGCAGTTACCAACTCATTTGTAGCATTGGGGTCTAAATTCACAAAGGAGTCCAAGTAATTATCCTCCTCTGCATACAACATCTATCAGGGATTTTGTTTTCCAAAAGTGTTTTTACTTGATTACAAAAGACGCCTAAAAGAGACATAGAAAATAAGGAGATTTTACGTGATAACTTAAAAAAATAAAGCATTTATATACAGACCCACATATATTCAAATAAAGTCTAGTGTTTCACTCTGCTCAGTGCTCTGCCATTGCATGATTTTGCTATCTGACGGGAATAAATGCCACTGGTTATTTAATGCATTGTGTTTGTCATTCGTTTTTCTCATTTACCTCCTTATAATTTTATCGAGACACCTATGAACTATGTGGAATAAGACTACAAGTGGCTTTGGCCACATTACACATGTAACACATAGGGATGTGAAAGGTTAACCGGTTAATTGGTTAACTGATAAGCATCACCCTTAACCATTCCAGTTAACTGGTAGGGGCTGAAGCAGCTCCCTACCCACCATGGCGGGCCGGGGGACTGTGGTGAGGTTGGGGAGGGGGAAGCTCCAAGCCAGCCACCCGCTGCCCCTTTAATCAGTTAACTGGTTAAACATCACATCTAACCGGTTAACCAGTTAAATGGAATTTTCCATCCCTAGTATCAAGTTGGGAGAAAAAGGGATGCAAAAGCAAACCTCCATTAAACGAGTTTGACATTGCAAAGCTGAAACAACCTATGCAGTCCCAATTATCCATGGCCCAATACAGCAACCAGGAAGCCAAAACGAAGCCACCTCTACCCATTCTAACTCCAGTGTATTCGTTACCAGGCTTTGAAATTCACTGTCCTCATCTTTTTGGAGAGAGGGAAAACAAAAGCACCTGACTGACCTAATCTATCCCCTCATTGTTCTGTGCAGTTCACAGCGCCTCTCGAAATTAAACCATCCCATTCTTTTGCTGGAAGGCTCTCTCGGCTTGATTCAAAGCCCTCCGAAATCACTGGGAGTATTTCCATTCACTTCAACAAGCGGCACATCAGACCTCTCAATGCCCCTAAAACTTTACCCTCCAACTCCATCTTCCTTCTCTATCTTGCTGAATTTGGGCACCTGAACAAGGATTTCCAGAGCAGGCTTCAAATCTAAGCCCAGTCTTCAACTGCTGTCACAGTCAATGCTCTGCAGTATGACAGCCGACTACTTTGCGGGCAGGTTGTTGAAGGCACCTGTGAGTATATGGTGTACATATAATCGGCCATACTGGGTCAGACCAAAGGTCCATCTAGCCCAGTATCCTGTCTGCCAACAGGATCCAGTTCCAGATGCCCCAGAGGAAATGAACAGGACAGGGAATCCTCAAGTAATCCCTCTCCTGTCACCCATTTCCAGCCTCTGAAAAACAGACGCTAGAGACACCATTCCTACCCATCCTGGCTAATAAGTATTGACGGAGCTAACCTCCATGAACGTATCTAGTTCTTTTTTGAACCCTGTTCAAGTCCTAGCCTTCACAACATCCTCTGGCAAGGAGTTCCACAGGTTGACTGTGCGCTGTGTGAAGAAAAACTTCCTTTTGTTTGTTTTAAACCTGCTACCTATTAATTTCATTTGGTGACCCCTGGTTTTTAGTACACTCAATTGCCTCTCCACACTGTATGCCCAATAGGCTTTCCGGGATCAAGTCAGGAGCGTAACTTAATATATTTTGTGCTCTTAAAATTCTTGGGACTTGTATTCTCACATTTGAGTGTTTGATTTTATATCCTAGAATATTTTTTGGAGGGACTTTGAACAAAATATTGACCCCAGGCCAAATTCACGGTGATGCTTAACACGGACTGGGTGAGGAGTCCTCGTTCTTACTGATGCCGCATCCCCAAACAAACAAAAAGCAATCACAGCTCGGACTTACCATGTGAACAACACCAGTCACCCCCACGACTTCTAGTAGGCCGTCATCCATTCTCGGCTTCTCAAATCGATTATCATTGTCAGATCCCCAGAGATCAGCTCCAGACCCCCAACTGTAGGGGGAGCAAACAAAACATGGCTGCGGCCTAAGAGTACGTGGAAATCTGACAATCCTCAAGCAGTGACGAAACGGCTGTTCTGCAAACAGTTGTGGCATATATTCTGTTCTACCAAATTCTCCTTGAGTGGGGGTTATGTAGTTCTCCTTTCCCCCTATACAGAACACTGTATCTGCCTTCATAAAACAGGGTACCCTCCTGAGAACCCTGTCAGGGAGGCAGTGGAAGCAGGGAGGAAGGACAAATTCGGTTTTCGATTGGGGAAAGTTGGTAAGAGGAAATTAGTCTCATTTCATAGTGCTCCAAAGCTTACCACAGTTCTTGGCAACATCGGTATGTTTTCTCTTTCTCAAGCCATGATACGTTGGAGGGATACTAAATATCATGAAACTGCTCTCTCAAATTATTATATTTAGGCATCAAATAGCTGGGTGGAATTAAGCACCAAAATCCTGATGCCAGTGGAAAATGACTATAATTTTACTTCCTAGAAAATAGTTTCCTGTTCTTCCTGGAAATGCGTATTTGCCTCTTCAATGCACAACTGCTGCTCAACACTGGATGTGATTAATTCCCCTTTTCTAAGTTTTCTCAGTAGACTGAAAAAGAAAAAGAGTATCTAACTCTTGAAGCCATGTTCCAAATTAGAACAGAGGGCACAGCCAATTAACATCCCTTAATGTAACCCTAATTAACTGCGCCTTTTAAGATAGTTGCTACAGTGGAATACCGAGGACAGAACTTTCAGTAGCTGTTATTCATTTCTGCAGCCAAAACCAAAGCCTGCATGCAAAGTATGGGGAGTTGGTAAAAATTACTCAAAATAAACGGGATGAAATAACAGTAGAGATAGCAAAGAAGTTCTCATTACTCCAGAAAAAATGAGGGTTAGTTTCTATGAACTCAAGCCAGGACTTTCAGAAGCATTGAACTGTCCAAATCTCATGCCATTGGACATCCAGCTCCCTTAAGCCCCTTTGCGCATCTAAGCTAGGAAAAGTAAAGAACACCCTTCCATCTCGTTCTACAGACTCCAGTGATTTTGGGGAGTATAAAAGAGTGTTTGAGTATCGAGGTGACAATCTAAAAACAACCATTCCCTTGGATTCCTAGACAGATGTGTACCAACACAAACTCCTTTCTCCCATTTTTACCTGGGGATATTAATGAAAATGAGGCCTTCGATACTGGGTAATTCTATTTCATGCTGGTCCACTTGAAGTTTTATATCTTTGTGGAGGTTTCTCGTGTGACTTATCTTTTGAAGTCCAACTTTTACATATACTCCTTTGTTGTGAAACCTATGGACAGAATAGCACTCCATCATTGAAAAGTTTGACTCCACATTGCGGCTCTGTTGCAATCATACACATTTAAGCTGACTCTCATTTTGGAACATGTTCATTTAAAGTTTCCTTTAACTGAAATCCCATTCAAGGCTTAATCAACAAATCAAACTCTCTTCAGGTGATAAACTGTTGCTTCAGACAGTCTTTAATGAATAGACAGAAAGACAATTTAGGCATTACGTAGCGAAAAACACGGAAACATACAAGTAAAGATTCTCCATACTTAAAGAATATGGTTTAAATTCAGAGCTGCCTTTCAGGAGACTTTCTGCTTAGAAATATAATTGTATTTTAATCAAAATATACTTCTTGGAAAATTGATTGTGAAAACACAGAGTAACTAAAATTGGCACCGTGCGAAAAACCGTCAAGAGTCTGGATAAACAGAGAGCTAAAGAAGTCATCTGAAAAATACAACCTGCCCAAGCGGTGGTGAGAAACATTTCTTAATACTTATACTGATAACCCTCAACAATTCCCTTAACCTGAATGTGCTCCAGTTTTACAGAAAAGAAAACTGAGGAACAAGTCAAGTCTTTGGTTATAAATGTTGAAATGTTTAGAGGATAAAATTTAATTAAGCGCGGTTTAAAATCAGGTCAGTAAAATAACACTTCTAGAGAGGTCTGCAGGGAGAGAACCTGGGATTTCTAGATCTAAAAGCACGAGTCTCTGCTGTTTGAGTTGAAGGATCAGATCCATTGGCTTGTTCACTGTAGTAGTAGACAAAACACCTAGGGGAATCTAGACACTAAAAATAGCTGCAAAGAACCCCACTATGTTAGCATGGATTGCATGGGCCCATAGGGTAGATAGTGATTAGCATGTTTAAAAATGTCAATTGGTTACTACATGCTGACATTTTAAATAGCACTTAATTAAAACGTCACCCCTACCCCATTAGCCATGCAACCATCACAAAGAAAATACTTTTTTTCCTAGTCTAGACAGGGGTTAAAGGTGGGTTGGGCTTTTTAAAATACCGTACATAACATGTTATGAAGGACTCTAGTGTAGACGGGGCAAAGTTGTATTTTAATACCGTAGCTAGGTGAGGCGAACGGTCAGCACACCCATAGGCACACGCTATAGGAGCCAGACGCAGAAAATAAAACCCGAGACATTTGGCTGGCGCAGTGCGGAATTCCCCGCTCAAGTCTTTCTAGGAAAAAATGCTCCAGGACAGCAGCATTGAGTGGCCCTCCCACACCTGGGAGTTACGCCATGCTTCATGCCGACTCAGGAAGGCCTCATGCATCAGTTCACATTTTCCAGGTTCTCATCACAAGAGGGGGAGCTAGAAACGCTCATGCTCTGCTTTGACTGACAAACGCGAAAACAGCGACTGGCGCATGGGCCGCAGGCACTGTTCGGAGGAGCAGAGCACCTGTATCCCAGCGGCACATACAGCGCTGTACCTCAGTATCAGTAAACAGAACAACGGCAGCTGGATATGGGGGTGGCCACAAATACCATTTTAAAAAATGGGTCCAAGATGACAGAGCAGTGCAGAGACTTATGGTTCCCCAACAGGGAAACTGGATCAATAATTGGGGGATTGGTAACTTGCTTCCACACAATACAGTCCTTAGCTTGTTACCATGGTGACTACCGTACTGAGTCAGTGACCCCAACGCTCCTTTATGCCAACTGGTAAAGGGTCCGCCCTGCATATCATGGTCAGAATATTTAGCCAGACACCGCATCTTGTACAGTATCATGTAAACGCTGGTACGATGGTGGTCGGCAGAACGAGTGTGCGATGTATGCACGGATGACGTGCATACCCACTAGGAATATGTCCCTCAAGTGTGTTCTGGCACAGACTTGACAAGCAAGTTTGCACTAAAGAACGTCCTTTTGTCCGTGTCTCCAAAGTAAATCAAGCAAGGTGATGCCAGAGACTAAGGAAATTACATTGACACAAATCAACTGGGTGTTGGGACGTGAACAGGAAGAGATCTTCTGGAGTTTGATTTAGTAGGTCTAGTGAAGACCCACTCAATTGAACTCAGAGGGCATCCTAGTCAGCACCAGTACTACTGCTCCTCATCAGGAGTAAGGGATGTCAGTGGCAGCGTTTGCTCCCGTCAACCTCCCACTATGGAGACCACTTGGAAACTCGACTTACAGTATGGTGACTCCAGCTATGTAATTAATGTAGCTGGAGTTGTGTATTTTAATTCAACCTTCCGCTGTAGTGTAGACCTGGCCTCAGAGAGCCAACAGGCTGCTGTGCACTCTGTCTCTTTGGAGACAACAGACTTAGTGAATTCAGTGGGTGGGAATGTACAGTGCCAAGACATCTCTGAAGATGTTACCTGAAAGACAAGGTAAGTCTCAGGGAGCTGACAGGTGAGGCTACCGGGACTGGTGTGGCAGAGAGCTGACACAGTTTAAACCAGGGTAAAGTTTTTCTTTGCTGAGTCAACACTGTGGCTTACGAGTCACAGCTCCCTGGGGAGTGCACTATACATACTAGAAACAAACAAATACAATTAGCAGTGGCAGCTGCGCCTACAGGTAGGCGTATCAAACACATTAATTCTGGCTTAATCAGGTCCTTGATTAGTCATTATATCTGATTAGCCACAATCTTGATGTGATTTAGTGACAAATCTATTTGTGTCTGAAAGGCAGCAAGAATCAAGTACTTCTGTTGCGCGGAGGAGCGAACTCAGAACACACATTTCAACAAAAGCACAATTTTTCACTGACACGCACCTATTTCAAACACATTTTTTAAGATGTCAAAACTGGACATTTTTTGGAATGAAACCTTTCAAGTTTTCATTTCCAAATGACTTTGCATTTGGAAATGTATTTTACATAAAAACATCGAAATGAAAATAAACAAAATCTAAATGACATTTCAGTTGACATGAGATTAATTAAAAAAAATCGTTTGACATTTGAGGACAAAAAATTATTTTTGAAGTCTCACATTTTTTGGTGGGAGGAAAAATCAGTTTTCCAAACAGATCTCCAAAGAACTGATATTATTATAAAGTGAAGAACATGCCTTGCAAACAGGCACGGGAGAAAAAATGTGAGCAAAAACAAATGAAAGACTTTAGAGTAGTGAGCAGGTACAAATCCCCGGGGACCAGTGAAGAGACTGACTGCAGAGAATCTTACAAAACTGCTTCTATGGCGCACACCTAACATCATCAACAGAACAAAATAAACGAAGATAAAACCAAAGTAAAGAATTTTTTCAAACTGTTTTGGAGTTGATTCACACACAAATCTCATTCTGCTTGGGAATCTGTCCTTTTCCCTCTCAAGTAGATCTCAAACACATGACACTGAAACCCCTATCATGTCACCCATTACTAGACATTTGTAATTTGTCTCAGAGGGGTAACCGTGTTAGTCGGTACCTTTAAAAACAATGTGTAGTCCTGTGGCACCTTCGGGACTAACAAAAATATACATAGTTTCACAATACTTTCAGAGTTTGATTTAGTGGATCTAGTAAATACCCGCTAAATCAAACTCAGAGGATACCCACATCAGCGCAGGTACTCCTGCTCCTCACAAGGAGTAAGGGAACTCGATAGGAGCGTAACAAAAACTTGTAAAACTGTATATTTGTGTTAGTCTCTAAAGTGTCACAGGACTACTCGTTCTTTGTAATTTGGTGCAGCATGATAAAAAAAGCACTAGAAGAGGCGGAATTGTAAATGTACACGTGGCTACACTTCATCTAAAGCAAACTCACGAGGGCGACATTAACAGCTGCTCTGAATGTTAATTCAGTATGCCCACAGCAAAAAAAAACCAGAGCCTCTTCATGCCTGTCCTCAGAACACTGCACATGAACTGCCATGTGCTTTTAGCTGTGAGAAGAGACACTCAAAAACTCTTTAGAATGTCTTTATGATTCTACTCCCTATGTGACAAACTCTGCTGACTAATTATACGTCACTTAGAAAGCATCCACAATTCTCCATGCCAAGCAAAAAACAAGCTGTGGGCTCCCTTTGCAGCCAATCACAGTGCTCCTCCGGTTCAATCGGCACACCCTACAAATTCTAGGCATGCAAACACAGGTAGCAAAGCTACCTTACCTCAGGAGACCGTCCGGGTTACAACTATCTTCCAGCCCACTGTGATGAAGGAGGCTACTCATGCAGCCGACACACACTCTCCAGTACAAATGTACACGAAGAAAATTCCAGGCACTGAGCGTTTCTAGTGTGAATTTCCCCCTACTTTATGCCACCGCACATACTTGGACAAATGCCGCAGATGTCATTTATCCTCCATCACTGAATTTCATATTCAAGTTATTGGAAAAATTAAGTACATTTCAAAACCACCACAAAGCGCTTGCCAAATATTGTACTTCTGATGGCCTCTAAGCGTGCTACTGTCTGTAAAAAGCTAGCAGACTAAAATTCTTGCTGCATGGATCTGTCTGGATCCCAGGGTGTGTGTGTCCATTTTTGGAAGCACCATGTGACCAAGTACCCTCCCTCCATGCCCCCGTAGGGGGTGGGACAGTAGTTCTTCCTCAGTCCTCCAAGCGTCCAGCGAATCACCCAGTCTCTGTCAAATTCCCGCTTAAGAAGATTCAGCCACTTCTGGGGATCCCCATGTCCAAAACAAGCCCAGAAACGTAACCTCATCAGCCCTGCCGGGCTCTGCGAGTGCCCAAAAAGCACATGTTTCCAACCCCGCCAGGCCTCAGGCACGCCTAAGTCAGTTACTGGCAGCCGAAGCCGGTCAATCGGCTTCTGCCGGCCCTACTTTTCCACAGGGAGGCTCTGACAGACTGTTGTCTTCCTTCCTTCCTGGTCCCAGGCAGCCTGCTCTCCCGCGGTGAAGGGCACAGCTCTCCTTTGCCTCCCAGCCCTGGAGCACACTGCGAGGGACTCTCCCTTTTTATCACCTCCCTCCACACCTGACACCACGGGCAGGGCAGGTTCACACCCTCTACAGCCCCCTCCCAAAAAGCAGGCTAATCATTCTCTCCTGACATGGGGGGGGGGGGGTTGCACACCATGTCTCTCACCCCTCTCTGTGATATTGTGTCTCACAGACGGGGTATGTGGTACGATGAGTCCACAAAGATTTTTCCTGGGATTCATCAGCATCATCAACAGCCATGGGCTCAACGCCCGTTGGTGTCGGATGCCTCCCTCACTATTTCCTTCCATCTTTCCCTGTCCAGTGCGGAGTGGCTTAGTTTCTGTAGACTAGCTCCGCACCAATCTACTAGATCATCTCCCCATTCTCTGTGGGGTCTGCCTCTCCTATTCGGACCATCCATTATGTCGAATACCAAGGTCTTAACTTTTTGTTCGTTGTTCATTCTGCAGATATGCTCGAATAGCTGTAACCTCTATTGTATAACCTTCTGCAGTAAGTTGTCTTTCGGCTGTATCTTCCTATAGAATTCCTCGCTGGTGACCTTCTGCATCCATCCTATTCTCAGGATCTTTCTATAACAACTCCTCTCGAACGCCAATATCCTTCTCTTTGAATCTTTCGTTATCACCCATGTCTCACATCCATAGAACATGCTGCTAAATACACACGTTTTTGTTCATAAGCTAATCGCTTTACATTTCCAGATCTTATCCATCGCTTTCAAACTCACTCTTGCTTTCGCTGTTCTAATCGCTGTTTCATTACCTGCTGTTAAATTTGCCTGGCTCTTCCTCTCTAGCATGGTGGAAGCCCAAACTCAGTTCAGCGTCAATCCCAAGACCACAATAATTGTTCATTTGTACAATCTGAAAAACAAAACAAACACATCACTATACAAGGGTACGCCACTGAGGGTGCATCTACACTGCACCGTTATTTCAAGATCACTAGCGTTATTTCGAAATAACAATGCGCATGTCTATACGTATAAAATCGTGAGTGGTATGGAGCAGGTGAATAAAGAAAAGTTATTCATTAGTTCCCATAATATAAGGACTAGAGGACATCAAATGAAATTAATGGGTAGCAGGTTTAAAACTAATAAGAGAAAGTTCTTCTTCACACAACACATAGTCAACCTGTGGAACTCCTTGCCAGAAGAGGCTGTGAAGGCTACGACTATAATAGAGTTTAAAGAGAAGTTAGATAATTTCATGGAGGTTAGGTCCATAAAAGGCTATTAGCCAGGAGATAGAAATGGCGTCTCTGGCCTCTGTTTGTCAGAGGCTGGAGAGGGATGGCAGGAGACAAATCGCTTGATCATTGTCTTCAGTCCACCCCCTCCAGGGCACCTGGCGCTGGCCACTGTTGGCAGACAGGATACTGGGCTAGATGGACCTTTGGTCTGACCCAGTATGGCCATTCTTATATAAGTACCCGGCCATTCCATTATTTTGAAATAATTTTTAAATAATGGGCGGCTTATTCTGAAATCTGTAAACCTCATTCTACAAGGAATAATGCCTATTCTGAAATAGCTATTTCAAAATAAGGTGTGTGTAGATGCTCCACTGCTGCCCCTCCAAGTTATTCCTCCCCAGTGCCTCCTAGGGCTCTAAATTGAGATTGCATGTCTACATTAGGGAAGCCTGCCCCCAACTAATTTTGAGGCTTCCCTGCAGTGTACACGTGCTATTTCTAAAGAAGCTGTTCTGGAATACCTACTCCAGAACAGCTTATTTCAAAATAGCCATGCAGTATAGACATACCCTGAGACTCAATCGTACAACAGCAGAGGTTCCCATATTGAGAGGATCCCACATCGGCATGCAACATTTCGGTGAAACTGACATCTGTAGATTTTTTTTTTAAGTCACTGCACACACAGCAACTGAGGAGTATATTTTCTTACACAGATAGCCCTTGTACAAAAAACAACATTAACATGAAGATAAGGTTGAGAGTATTGACCAGGAACTTGCAACTGAAGAACACTGTGAGGTTTCTGTAATTACCCCTCAGCCAAGCATTCCAGTCCTGGGAAATTTGCAGGGTTAGGGTTAGGGTTACAGTTAAGAAAAAACCAAACATGGTAAGTTATGGACATACAGAGTTAAAGAACCTAAAACATCTTAGCTCCAGCTAGGGATACCACTTAATAACCAGATGACGAGGACTGAGAAATTGCTGTGTTCATAGTCCCAGATCAACTCATGTTTTCAAGATTTATTTTCATATTTCCCTTTATGGTATCACTATAGGGGAGAACCTGGCAACTTGTTTGTGTATGGAAGGAAGCATTAAATAGTATCACCATCATGGTTGTCCCCCGTGTACTGTGCTTTGGGTTTTTCCATTAACTGAACTGTGGAGACTTTTTTGAATAATCATCTACCACTCTTCTCTTTGTCTCTTTGATCTTATTCATGCCTTAATAGGTCTTAAAACAACAAATCCCAGGGTTATATCTGCAAACGACATTCTTCCTTTCCCAAACAATGTTGTGATCTGATGTCGTGAGAGCCTGTCCAGCAAGATTTGCACTTCAAAGCAGTAAGGAAAACTGTTAATTTGAAGTTTAACTGAACCTCCCCCTAGTGATGTCCAACAGAACTTTAGCAATCCACTTTCTGGATTGTTTAACCAGGTGTAAGGATGCCAATTCCAATACAGGGGGTTACATATAGCTTTGATCTTCCTTCAGAGAGCTTTTTCTCAGCTGAACCTGCTTCAGAAAGCAGACCTGACTGTTTCTCAATGATCACTTGTAATCAGTTACGTTCCCAGTTAGGTCAGGGTTTGGTTGTGCCAGGAAAATGAGATGTGCCTGGAACAGGATTGCGTCTCATAAAATGGAAAGGGAGGGGTCTGGTAGGAGGGACAAGTAGACTGTATAATGACCACAGGGGGCAGCAAAGGGCCAGAGATGGGATAGGTAAAATAACCCCATTGGGCCAGCAGGGGGCAAGGGTGGGGAAAGGGACAGCTCTAGTATATATTTCAGAAAATTTGTGCGCGCGCCTGTTGATCTATGTGTCTGTCTATCCCCTCAGCTGGGGGACATGCACCCCTCTCCCCTCCACTGTAGTCCCCTCTCCCTGGGGAAGCCGCACACTGATCCCCTTTTCCCCAGCCTCACCTCAGAGCAACGATTTGAATGAAGAAAACCAAAACTTATTTGAGTTAAGGACCCAAGCAAAGCCAGGTAAGTCTTCTAGTTAATACACAAAATATCTTGTGGAACTAATCTCTTACTTGAAGCTTTTAGAACTGTACTCAAAGAAGCATGTCTGGTTTACCTTCTTCATGCACAGGCATAGCGAATGGGCTGAGCAATAATTATTACAGCACGGGGAACAGAAAAGGGGTGCGGAAATAACAGACAATTCCCAACCAGCTTTGGCATACTAGCATCCATCTTCGAATAAACCAATCGGGTTTAGAAAACTCCATGGTGAAATACCTTTGGAGGTTCCGGTTCCAGAATAACATTCTCTGCACTTTCAACAACCTCCTGAGCATCTAGAAGGATGGTCCAGCGATCCATAAAGACATGGTCAGCTTCATCTACAGACACCAGAATGGAGTAGGGGTCTTCCCCACTGTAACCAGCTCCCCAGCGAAGCACCCTCCCTAAATCATTACCTGGACAAGACAAAAGCAAACTGTTATCTTGTTTAATGACCCAATGGGCGGAATGAAAGATAAATCCCCTCCAATCACTCCAACCGCCAGGGCACTAGCCAATAATCACAACTTTCCAGCAGTAAAACTGTACAGAACATGTCAATTTAAACACACTCAGAAAGCCTGTAAGTAAGCTCTTCTGTAGGTGAATCCTTAAACATATCGTGTACTGCGTTCTGTAAGACATGCGCGCAAAACAGGAATATTTATACGTCACCTGAAAATTTCCTCTCCGTAGCAAGGTCAGAAGGTCTGTTATAAAGGGTCCACAGAGTGGTTAGCTTTCAGCTTGCTTGCGAGCGAAAGTGGACCAGGAAAAAGGAGCGTAAGCTTCTCTTTGAAGTTCCTACTGGTTGAGACAACTTCCACCCCTGTGCTAATGCCACCTTATTTCCCCACATTAGAAGTTGGGATGATACTATTTGCAAGTTTCTCCTGCTGACATTTATGGGAATAACTTGCCCAGATAAAATAATCGTGAAACTTTGGATATCAACTTCCATCTATATCGTGGAAATCCATTTTGTCTTCACAATGGGCCAGGTCCTATGGTCCTCAGAAACTTAAGAAAGGCAATTTTCAAGTAAATTATCCTGTTATTTTCTAGCATGCCATTGTCTCTAGATCTGTTACGATGAGCTTTTTACAGCAGAGACCTGCATGCATCTCCCCTTATCTCCGGTTAGGGTCTTCAATAAGGATGACTCTCCGTGGTTCACACATGGGGAATCCCTTCAGACAATCTTATCCTCTGCGTTCACTTAACGACTGGGAGGAAGGACATTTTGACGTCCGTAGGTCCTTTGACATCTGCCAATCTCTGCAATAAGGAGAGATGCAGAGGGGCTTAAAAGACCAGCTGGATAACAATGACATGAACTCGCCTACTGAAGTAAGCCTCTCCATGCCACCAGCATTCTCAATCTTCTCCCGAAGAGACTGGAATTTTGAGGAACATTTTTTTTTAAAATAGCATCACTTGTTCTCTCTCTTTATGGCCATCTTCACTTTCTACCCACGTTCTTCCAAGATGAGGTCTTGTACTTAATGGTATCCAGGAGATCACAGGAATATCTAATACCTCTGGCTTGACAGCCCAGCATGGCACAGCTGGCTAAGGGGAGGACATCTCAGAGTCTTATGGGTTGGCATTAGTCCTGCAGAGAAGAGGTGGGTAAGCCCGAAAAAAAATCACCTATGGCTTGACAGACTATACGCGTGTATGAAAAACACTGGGAACCATTAATCTAGGTAAAAAATGAAGGGTAATCCTACAGGAAAGGACCAAGGAGACCCCAGGCAGATAGGGCCCAGAGGGGCAACCTCAGTTTGTCTACAGACAGAGCCAACTTCCCCAACAGGATGCGCAATTAGGCGGGGGAAGAAGAATGACCAAGTCTCCTCTTTGGCCTTCTCCCCTGAATACCCAACGCAGGAGCACTTCAGAAGAGACAGAGCTGAGGGGAAAAATTCCCCAGCAGGCAGATGCAGGCCTGGAACATGTCGGGCATTTAGATGTCCAGTTGCCAGTCAGAACTTTGAAACCAGAAGGGTGGGATCCATCTAAGAAAATCTCTGGAGTAGGAAGGGTGGGTAGAGCCCTACGCCTGGCACTAGGAAGGCAAAGGAAAAAGGGGGGCCTCAGGAGAGGAGGGGCCTCCCCAGCTGCCAGCAACTGTCAAGTCTCCTTTTTATCCACAGGCAGACTGAAGTACCAAGCACACTGGACTGTAGCACAATGGAGAAAGCGTTGGCTACCCTGGGTAGCCATGCTCCGCGTGAAACAGAAGAGCCAATGATGTTGATGCACTCCTTCCTCCCGTACCCCGTATCTTATCTGTAAGCAACAGGTCGTCCCCCCACAGTGGTGAGGTAAATGCATTAGAATCTCCTACGTCCTTGTGACATGCAGACTCCTGAACAAGGCGTTTGTCATACAGTCCCAAGCGACAATTTTTTGCCTGTTCGTGATTTTAGTTTCCGACTGTTTTGGTAGCCTAGTTAAGCACGCGCATTTCATGAAAGATTTTCTGCGGCCAGGTAAATACATAACTGTGAGATCCTGGCTGTATACTATGAATACAGGACATAAAACCACCCATCCTTGTGAGTGGATACCAAAGAGGACTAAGCAACCGTGTGGGCCAGGCACGGCCGTAAAACAACTTGCCAAAATGAAGTGAATTCATAAACGATGGAGAGGAAAAAAACGTAAGTCGTGAAGTACGTTTTCATCGGATACATATTTCCCCTCAGGTGGGTGCAGAGAGACCAGATCTATCTTTTAGTTCCACAGGTTGTCCCTTAGCCCACATTTTAGTTGTTAATTATTTTCTGCATGCAATAGGTTGAAGATGCTTAGTTTTATTCCTGTTTTCTAAATAAGCCTGTCAACTCATGCTGAGCTGGATAAGCCACACAATGAGTGTGGGAAAAAATAAGAGTTAATCACTTGCATCTGATAAGCTGTCTGAGTGCTGTGGGAAAATTAGTTGATTCTACTTTCCTCAATTCAGATTTCTAATTCCTCACTTTAAGTTTACATGAATGCTGATGAATTTCCCCCCCTCAACCAATGCTTCTGAGAGTGATCAAGAGAATTCATTATGAACTAATTAGTCTCAATATATTTGCAGCATCACAGGTTCTATATCAAATTAACCACATTTCAAGTAGTTAAGGATGCACAATAATTTTCATGTCTAATTTTACTGCAGAGGGACCCTGCCTATAACAGTATTCAGTCAGAGAGGCAGCCCCTAAATCACTGGGGAGCAGGGCGGCTGACTCGCTGGGCCCCAGAGCAAGATTCTGAGGGGGGGGAGATTCCTTGCCCTTGGAAGGGGCGGAGCCTCAGGCAGAAGGGGCGGGGCCTCACGGGCAGCCCTTCGGCACCGCTCATGGCTCCATCATCGATTTAAAGGTCGTGGGGCTTTGGCTGCCTCTGCTGTTGCCATAGCTACGGTAGTCCGCAGCCCTGGGACTTTTTAAATCACCAGGCCCTGGGGCAGCTGCCCCCTTTACCTTCATTCCCTCCATCAGCAGATCTGATGGGGAATAGTTCTCAGAAGATATTCCACAGTCGAGAAACACCCTGCCCTTTTCTCAGATGTAATTCGACAAAAACCAGAATGGCGGGAGGACTGGTGAGCCGGGCAGTCACTGGGGCAAGCAGGCAAGGGAGGTGTGGGTGGAACAGGTCACTCACTGGAGGGAGGGCTCTAACCAAACAGGACCCTAATCCAGGTGAGCGAGCAAGAGGAGGAGTGTGGCTGACACGCACCGCTACCAGCTACATGGAGTACGGAGGAGCCAGTTAGAGAGAAAACAGATCCCACCATTGCACTGGGCCTCTTCAGCAGTAGCCCGTGGGTTTCTGGAAACCTGGATTCAAATACCGTGATAACCAGGATTTTCCGGACTTGCCCAGCCCTGGGTTCATATCACTTCCATCTGCCTGACTCGCTGGCGGGCCTTTGGCCCCGTGATTCTTGCTAGCGGGCCTTTGGTTCCATGATTCTTGCTGGCAGCCTTTGGCCCCGTGGCGGGCCTTTGGCCCCGTGATTCTTGCTGGCGGGCCTTTGGCCCCAATACTGTGGGTTGCATCCGCGCAGCATATCCACTCCCTGTATGGCTGGGCAATGCCCCATGGGCTATAGCCGTGTGGTGAGTGAGCAGCAAGCGGCCTGCCAGCTGAGAACCATGCAAGGCCAAGGCAGTAAGAGGATTTCTGCAACATGAAAGCCTGTTCAAGGCAGGCCGGGAGAGAAAGAAGAACAATGATGAAATACTCTCAGCTGTTTCCCCCTGGATACATGCCGGTTGCTTGAATGGAACATAAGAAACTACAACAACATGCTTTTCAGGCTGCAAAGCCAGTAAAAGCGCCACTTTGTGAGTAAAGTCTACACGAAACAAAAAAGCTATATTTATATCAATAGGTAGAAGGTTTAACACAAACAAAAGGAAGTTTTTCTTCACATAGCGCAGAACCAACCTGTGGAACTCCTTGCCAGAGGATATTGTAAAGACCAGTACTTGAACAGGGTTCAAAAAAGAACTACTAGGTAAAATCATGGAGGTTACGTCCATCAATACTTACTAGCCAGGATGGGTAGGGATAGCAACCCTAGCCTCTGTCTATCAGGGGCTGGAAATGTTTGACAGGGGAGGGAATCACTTGATTCTCTGTTTTGTTCACTCCCTCTGAAGCACCTGGCTTTGGCCATCGTCAGAAGACAGGATACTGGGCTAGATGGCTCTTTGATCTGACGCAGTATAGCCATTCTTACGTTCTTATTTACTTGCCCCTCCGTAGTTACGGGTGAGTGCAGCTCTCATTGGCCATGGATCGCTGTTTCCAGCCAATGGGAGCTGCAGGAAGCGGTGTGGACCAGGACGTCACTTCCTGCAGCTCCCATTGGTGGGGAACAGTGATCCATGGCTAACTGGAGCCGCAATCACCCATACCTGTGGAGGTGCAGTTATATAGCCCCGGCGGGTCGCCAGCACTGTAACCCTGGCGAATCGGATCTGACCCATGGGCCAGTATTTGCCCGCCCCAGTTTTTGAGCATGTTTAATCGCCTCCCATTAACATTCCTTCAATAAGGCCAGCTTCATTCTGTTGTTTCTCACCTGTTCCTAAAGGTAAGATGGCGACAGAGGGCTCTGAACAGACGAGTTTGTATCTGATTTCCTCCAGCGCACCAAGAACCCAACCAACGGTGCCATCACCTCCACACACCAGCACTCGGAAACGGGGAACTTGAGAGAACGTGTGAAACCTTCATTTAAAAACAAAAGCATAAAAAGATGATTACCCTGTGATGCAGAAAAAAAATATTTCCTTTAAAATAACGCAACAGTGTTCTTAGCAATTATTGCTCTTTCCTTCCATCGCTTTCTAGTTGAGAGTCAGGTAAGCTGATAAAACGGATAATAATAAAACTTAGAACCATCAGAGTAGTTTTCTGCCTGGCACACATGAAGTTGTATTCCTCGCTATGTTTCCCTATAGCCAAATGTGACAGCTGAGTTCTGCCCCCAACCTGAGAGATCCAACCACACACACACACACACACACACACGTCTAAATTCTTAAAATGTGTTGATTCCATCTTTAAATGGAAGTTGACAACACCACTGCCATTCATGTTGCGCACAGTATTTTGTTATTAAATAGTGCGTATTTCTTCGTCCGCTGGCACACACTGCTGAGGCTGTCAAAATCAGAAGGGGCTATTTCTAGACAACTATGGATTCTCACACACACACAAAAAAATCAGATTCTACATGGGAAACAATACTTTTCAACCCTACCAATCAAGGCACTTTATATGGGAGTTTATTATTCTTCCCATTTTACAGGTGGAACAATGAGGCTCAGAGAAGTCAATGTCTTTCCCACAGTAACAGAGAAATACTGCAGCTAACAATAGATACTATGGCCATAATGTTGACAGTCATGATGTCTAAATGAACCATAGAATTCCATGGTCCAGATAGAAACCGGCACTGCTTATTTTTTACTGCCTGTTCATTATGTACTGTTGAATTCATTAGCACTGGATGAAGGCAAAATAATAAACTCAACCTTCTGAGAGTGTTATTTCAAGGCACTGGAGTCAATTTAGGCAGTACTGAAATAAAGAATAATGCAGTAGGCTACAAAAACCACATTATTCCATTACAAACAGCAGGCAATGCTATTGCTCACTGGTAATTAAACTGTGGGGTTTTTTTGTAAAATAACTAAAACATTGCTTTTGTTTTCCCCCGGCTCTTAGAAATGGAGTTACCATGTCTGAATAATCAGCTCCTGCTACATTTCTGCAATTGTAGACAAATTCCAAGAGATATTATATTCTCCTATTATCTGACATTAAGAACGGCTGGAAATAGTGGCAAAAATTATGTGACAGCAGTGTTGCTCAAAGTCTTCTCTTCCCTCCCTCCCTTCTCCACCAGTAGTTATTTGAATGGCAGCAAGGTCCATATGCTCCCATCTGGGTTTGGACCCTATTGTGCTGGACCCTAACAAACACATCAGAAACAATTCTGTCCCTCCCTCATTGTGAAACTTGAAATTTTACATTTGTTTTTAAAACAAGGACCATAACTTCTAAGGTGATCAATCTTCCAGAGTTCGATTTAGTGGGTCTAGTAAAGGCTCACTAAATCAAATGCAGAGGGCACCCTCATCGATGCCAGTACTCCTCAATTCGCAAGGAGTAGAGTAAGGGAAGTAGATGAAAGAGTTTGCTCTCATCAACCTCCTGCTGTGGAGATGGTGCCAAAGGTCAAATTAAGGTGCATTGACTCCAGCTACACAATTAACTTAGCTGGAGTTACATCTCTTAATTCTATCTTTCAGGTATGTATGGACAAGGCCTAAGAGGTGCCCTTGGTATATTTCTCATACAAGCATTACAGGAGTAAATAAAATGCAGTGGAGGAAAGTTTAGCTACTTTGTGTGTGTGTGTGTGTGCGTGTGCGCGCGTGTATGTGCGTGCACGCACCACAGAGATCCAACAAGTATCAGTAAAGTGCTATTTTTGGGGATACTATTCCATTAACAAAAGAACTATTGTGATAAAAGATTTACCCAGGCAGTGGGCCTCCATTAGTGAGTTCAAAGACCTGATGAGGATTTAGCAGTTTTCTAAAACTGTAGAGTAGATCTCGGCCTTTCAGGCCTCCACTTTTGGGATTCACAAACACAAGTAGTGGACAGCAGACCTGCGGCAGCTTGGAGTGCTGGGAGATTAAAAAAAAAAAGGTGTTAATCTACCATGTGCACATTTTTCGATTACAGTCTTCCAAGAATACCCACTCTCAATCCTTTAATAACAAACCCACAAGCAACAGGTCACCAGGTAGCTTGGATGCACAGTCGATTGAGCTTACTGGAAAAGTAAAGTAGCACAGTTAACTCGGCCATACGATAAAAATTAAGACATTACAGGACACAACATTCCCAAGGCTCTTAACAGGTTCAAAAAATAACTAGATAAATTCATGGAGGATAGGTCCAAGCAATGGCTATTAGCAGGACTCGCCAAGTGGCGGCGAGCCTCCTCGCCAGCTGTGCGGTTTTGCGAGGTTCTGCGCATGCGCAGATCTTTCTGCACCAGCTCTTCCAGGTTGTAATCTACTCGCCATGGGTGAGTAGGTTACATTATTTGTCGAGCCCTGGATGGGTAGGAATGGTGTCCTTAACCTCTAGGAATGAGTGACGGCAGGGATCACTTGACGGTTACTTTTTCTGTTCATTCCTTCTGGGGCACCAGGCAGTGGCCACTGTTGGCAGACAGGATACTGGGCTACGTGGACCTTTGGTCTGACCCCATCTGGTCGTTGTTATGTAGGCAGGCATATCTGGTTCTGTGGCGGACTGAATCACATTATGACTCTACAAATACAGCATCCTGTCTCCAAGACTAGTTAGTACCTGATGCTTCAGAGAACGGTGCAAGGAGACCCGAACTGGGTGGGGCTAGGGAGTGACCTGCTAACAGGAAATAATTTTTCCTCAACCCCCTTCAGCGACAGACTGTCTCATGCCAGGACACATGAGGTTTACTGTATCATACAAATCTGGGGGATTTTTTTCTCCCTTGATAATGTAATTGTTACATTGGGCTCCATGCTTCTCTCATCAAGCAGCTGATAGAGCCTCCACTGCTTGTCGACGGCAGCTTGAAAAGCGAAGGTCTTTCCCACCCAACAGCAATCCAGGAAAACACAAGGGGCATGACGCAACCACTAAAATCTACCTTTCTTACTCAGACCTTTGAAAGCCTGACTAGGCCCCGCCAAAAAGGTCCTGTGTCATCACACTTGAATAATAAATACCGGGGAAGTTTTAAATACGCTTTGTTCTGTCTCTCGCTATCCCCACAGCTAACCACTGAAAGGAAGGGACTGGAGTAGCTGGGGCTACGACTCTCTTCTAACCTCAATCTCAGAGAGGTAGCCATGGCAGCTGAGAGACAAACAGATTTACTAGGCCAGGAGTTTTCATGGGTAGAACCCACTTCATCAGATGAGTTGGAGTGGCAATTATAGAATCCTGGGGATATACAAAGGCAGTAGAAGTTACCTCTCAATTGTAGGGCCAGTGTTAACGAGAAGTCATCTCCTTCAAGACAGGCCCAACAAGGAAAAAACAGAACACCCCTAGTCATCACCTGCAGCCCCCAGCTCAAACCCCTCCAGCACATCATTGACAATCTACAGCCTACCCTGGAGAACGATCCCTTCCTCTCGCAGGCCTTGGGAGATAGGCCAGCCCTCGCCTCCAGACAGCCCACCATCCTGAAGCAAACACTCACCAGCAGCCACACCCCACACCCCGGATACGCTCACCCAGGAACCCACCCCCTGACAAACCCCGCTGCCCATTCTGCCCACACAGCCATACAAGCGACGCCATCGCAGGACTTAATCACATCAGCCACCACATCAGAGGCTCATGCCACTGCACATCCTCTAACGAGATCTACGCCATCAAGTGCCAGCAACACCCCTCTCCCACGGATATTCGCCAAACCAGGCAGTCTCTGCACCAAAGATAAATGGACACGAATCAGACATCAGAAAAGGTAACACACAGAAATCTGCAGAGGAGCATTTTAACCTGCCTGGGCACTCAGTCGTGGATTTAAAAGTAGCTGTTCTTCCACAAAGGAATTTTATCACCCAATTACAGAGGGAGCCGGTGGAACCGGAGTTCATCGGGCAGTACGTTCACCAGAGGGGATGCAGGGTGTGCGTGCGTGTGTGTGTGTGCGTGCGTCGTTTATGACAATACGGGCGCTTAACGCAGTAGGTTAGATTTAGGTAAGGAACAAATGCAAGCAATACTGGGATGTTTTAAACCAGCTCTCAAATGACTGTCCAAACACCAGATGGCCCCAAGCTATCTTGTTTTCATTTCATTTCATTTCATTCAGCCAGGCCTGAGAGAAGGGTAACTTCCACAGACACACAAAGATGGAGGAATGTACAGAGAAGCTGCTCCTTTGTTTTGCTGTCAGGCATTTTCAACGGAAAGTTCACAAACGGAAATGTTTGCTGGGGCCCTCTGTTCATGGTCATTTGCATTCACTAACGGGTGACCGTTGAGAGAACAGCCACTTAGCCTCAGGCTGGAAGGAATGATGCATGAGGAAAGAGGAAACGAACTCAACTTTTTGTGGTTTGGCTAAACCATTAAAGGAGTCCTGACACCAGACTACAAATATCTGAAGGGTTGCAATACCTAGGAAGGGAAGAAACTCGCTCCCACGTAATATGGGATTGCAATGAAGAGTAATGAGATAAAACGAAGGTATGGAAGATGCAAGCTGAATATGAGGAAGTATTTCCTGACACCGATACGTTTGCCAAGATTTTCACAAGCAAAGAAGAACATTGGGTGTCCCAGTTCTGGAGTTCCTACCTTGAGATCTTACAAGTAGGGTTGCCAGGTGTCGCCCAGAGAGTTGGGTATTTATTTTTTTTTAAACTGGACAGAAGGCCAAAAGAGAATACCGGAAACATAAAATGTCCAGTATTTTCTGTTTTCCTCGGACGGAAGGCCATCGGTGTCTGCGAGGGCGGGGGGAGCTAGGTAATTTAAAGGCGCAGTGACCTCTTTTTTTTTTTGGCTCAATTTGTCCCTGCCTGTTTGGGATTTTTTGTGAAAGTATCTGGCAACCCTACACAAGCGCTGGTTTTTCAGAAGGCATGGAGTGCCTGAGCGCTGACCTCTGTAGCTTTCTCAAATCACTGATCAGTACGAACATTTCTGTCGTTTGCAGATGAGTCTCCAAAAGGGACCCCCGCAGACGACAGCCCCTTTTCACTTGGGGCTTGTATAAGTAAAATGGACGAGACCTTGGAAACATGAGTGCAGGTAACAGTCCTGCACTAGCACGGAGACAGCTTTTCTACCTACAGCTGCTAAGATTCTTAATCTAGAGGATAATTAGCAAGCACTGCCAACGCCAATTTGAGAGTTTATGCAAATAAGGACAATTTAGGTTGTCAAAGTGTAAAGACAGACACAGGACTGTAGAGGCTGAGTGTGCTATGGAGGCCTTTTAGCACATTAAGCCATTCATCAAGGGTAGGAAGAGGCAGAATTACGTATCCCAGAAGTCACATAGGACAATAACTATCTGGTGCATGGTGAAAACCAGCTAGTTATATGTAAGCTGAGCAGATGGGTGAGCTTCCCACATTATATAGCAACAATTGTGCTAACTAAGAAATGCTTTCGGGGGGGAGGGGAGGGAAGAGAAGAAAAGTCAAAGGATCGTATGTAAATATACAAGAACTTGACATATCTTACTAATGCCCCAGCTAAGGCCTTGGGAAGGATGCATCATTTTCAGTCATTTAAAACTTCCTCCACAAGATGATTTTTTTTTTTATTGGTGGGGCTGATATTTCTCATTCTTGGTATCAAGCCCGGAAGCAATTAAAAATACTCTTATAAATGTAACTCGCTGCTTGACTTATCCACATGGGAGGGGAAAGCTGTGTCAAGTGTTAAAAGAATATTTCAGACACTTTCTCTGCTTTGTAGCTCAAGACTTTTAAACACGGCGCACTAGGCAAGTACCTTTTCACGACTGAGGCTGAGAACTTGTGCTTTTAATTTTTCTTCTCAAGAAAGCCAGCTTTTAAATATATTGTGGACTACGGATGTTAACTAGCGATTAATTTACTAACTGAGTAGTCGATGGAATTTCCTGACTAGTCAATAGGCACTTCCGCATTCCACCTTTGAAATGTACAAGAGTCCCAGCAGGACTCTGGTAGAGGTAGCAAGAGATGGGGGGAGCAACTAGTCGACTATTCTGTCAACTAATCCTTTACATCCCTACTGTGGACATTTTAAAACAGCATAGGAGGCATGTACTTTCTATTACGTTCCTTAATTATTAGAAATTAATAAATACAGAATTGTATGTTAAATGTGCACATTCAAAAATTAACTGAAAGCCTGATTGTCTAGCAGCATTACCGACACTTCCACTGTTTGCTGAGCTCTTAGAAGGCACTGAGAGGTAAATTAGAACTAAATAACAGCACAGAACACAGAGCCAGGACTGCTGGCTGTAAACAAACTTTATGGGACCACCGGAAACTTGGCCCCACCCACAACAACTGGACGTCTGGCTAACTAAAATGATGCCAGACCACAGATGTTGCCAGACCAGAGTCTGGTGTACTAGAGAGGTTCAACCTGTACAGGTAATTCATCATCAAGATACCAATTTGGAGTTCATTCTCACAGAAAGGCTTCGACAGCAGAATCCTATTGGGGAAGAAACTCTCTCAAGCGTGTTCTGCATAATGCTTAACGTGATCCAAATCGGACGATCTGCAGCAAAATTAAGCAGTATAGTACTCAACTCCTATCTGCAAAATGAAGGCAGCTTCAGCCTCTCTTTCGAGTCAGGATGAAGCCGTTCCATGCAAACTCGTTACCCTGATTAGGACTGGGAAGCGCAGTGCCACAGAGCTCTCAGGGGTACATGTCTCCTTTTGTTTTGGTGCAGATGACTGTGCCATTTGTCACCCTGGCGTTGCAGAATTGTGTGTAATCCCTTAGTGAAGGCCAAATGGGAAAATATGAATTACTGTTTGTTACTCCACAGAATGGAATATGTGACTCACACAGTCTTGTGTAGGATTTTTCCCCTTTTATCCTGTCTTTGATATGATGCTTGAGAAGAAATTTGCAGAGGGGTTTTGCGCTGGCT